CGCAAGAAAGACATCAGATATTTTAATCATTTCATTTCAGTTGAATTTCCAGATTCAATACTTATCGATTTAATAATTAAGCTGGCAGAAATAGAGAAGAGGGTATCTATTGGTTGCAGCGAAGCGGTACAATTAAACTCCCTCGTTTCAGCGTTTCAAAACGCTCGTGATATCGAGACTCCTTAGCGCGTACAGCGTTCACAGTTCGAATCCTGACTAGGTAATTTAAAGTATTACATTTTTCTACGAAAAGATTCAAATAAAACCTGATCCAGAAAAGGACTCTGCTATTTACTGTTGTCACATGAAATGAATAAAAGATTAATATTTTTAGAATGAAATTGTAGACATTATGTATATACAGTATTCCTTCATGTATCACTGTCTGTTTCATTTTTTTTAAATTTCGTAATAAATTACATTCTCTCGTGAGCGGTATCAACCTGCTGAATCTCTGAAAATAAGTTGTTATAGTTTGAGCTACAAATCAGTCGAGTTACCTAAGCGAACCATGTCATTCGTAAATTTTTATCCAGCTCTGCCCGCGTGATCTCGTTCATCCTTTCACGTGCACGGAACAGTTATACAAAACTCATCTCTGAAATGATAAGTTTTTCCTATAGTCGTCGAAGAATGTGTTTAAGTGTATTGACGCAATCACTGTGCGCCTGTACTTGATCGTACAAGTGGAACAGCGTCTGACAGTGGTCCGACAAATACCGCCCAATGAGCACGCGATCGTTCAAGCAACATATCGAGGAGAACGTATCCACAGTCCAAACATGCAATACTACTATTTTCTGCGCCAGTGATGCTTGCAGAAATTGATTTATCGAGTTTTAAAGTACGTGCACCACATAGTAATTTGTAATACGCAGTAAATTTTATCCATTAGTAATGTACCGTAATACACGCTTAAATGTCAAAATATATGTATACGCCTGACTGTCCTAACCCAGTATCTATTCAGCGACAATTAAATGTGCATCACTGTATTTACCTCCAGAATTATACAAATGAGCATCACTGGCGTACGACACAAAAAGACGTGAATCGGTGCTCTTCTTACGTTTCACCTCACGTGCAGTAAATTGCCTTCAAAGTAACTATCGAAATTACGTTTTCAGTTTGTCTGTGAAACAGCAATCCGCGATTATTTCGATCGTACAACGACCAAAACAAAACGTTACTAGTCAACACGTGCATAGTCATTAATACCGGTGCTATTTAATGTTTTATTGCGCTTTAATTGTTCCGCCACGCTCTAAATATTTCGTAACTTTCGTCGAAATAGGGCGCTCGCGTGCCCGTTCAATTTCCGTGTTCCGCACTTTATCGGAGAATTTCCACTCGAACGTGTGCCATTCGTCGACTATAATTGCGTCCTTCGTCTAATTAGTCGCCATATTAACAATGGGATAGCTCGATGAAAATTAGACAGCGAAACAATATTAATCATTCGATTACCATTAATGAATATCTACCGAAAAACCAGGCGACGGTTTTGCGTGGTCCCTTGATTTACATCCTTGGCACGTGTTAATGCGTCGTACGTTAATGTTACAGGCCGCATGGATGAAAAGCATGCTTACATACATCATAGTCCTAAAAGCGTGGCGAAACCGCTGAAATCGTCCCGCCATCACCGGCGAACCTATGTCCAATCTCTGCAAGTGGAATAACCTCTACTCTGGTCCGGCCTGCCATTACCACCTCTCTCTCTCTCTCTCTCTCTCTCTCTCTTTCACACACACACACACTCACTCACTCATTGGTACGCAGTTCCTCTCACTTCATCACTACATAGGTAGTTACGCGTTCCGTTCTTAATTCGTTATTTCTAAGTCTCATTTCCATTTTTCCTCCAAATTTAAGTATTTTCATTAGATAGAAACCCGCCATCTTGTCTATACAATTTTTATAACATTTATTAAAACGAATTCGAAGGAAAACTACACATAATTTTTATTTCTCAGGTGAAATCGAAGAAATACGGACGTTATTGTTAAAGTACACTTTCAATATATTTTTTTTTTGCCAATGTTCTCGCGTTATTTTAGAAACTTTCAACAAAATTGGCGATCAGTACGAACTTTTTCTATTCGAATAAAAAACGATTCGATTTGATGCGCTCGTAATTTGTATTTCGCACTTTTTCTCATGCAAACTGTCGGAATATTTCAGCAGAGCGGCCGAACGAGTTTGGATTTATCGGTGGAAAAACAAGCGGGCTATGAAGTGTAATGTGTCGACGATGGCGCGTGTCGAATTTTCGAAGATCGATCCCGTCAGCTGTTTTATATTCACGTCGGACATTTTGTACAATGTCGTTCGACCGAGATCGATTCGTTTTATACGGCGTACCCTTGAATTGATAATTAAATAATACTGATGCTCAGTATCAAATGAAACTTTTGGCTTAATAAGAACTTGGCTGGGGTGTGCTCGCGCGCGCGCCCCCTCGCTACTATACCACGTCGATTCTCTGAGTTATTTCAGCTTGAAAACTTAGCGCAGACGTGCCCTTAACTTTCCGCTTCGAAATAACTAATTCAATTAGTGTATCAGCGACGCTAGACCCTCCATGTCTTGACTACATCTTTGCACGATGTATCTAATCTTCGTGCTAACGTTAATTCCTGCAATTGTTAATCTCTTGGTGAACCTTCGTCGAGAAAAAGATTTTCCGCCTTTTTGATCCTGACTCGCATAATTTTTAAACATAGAAATGAAATAATTTTCTGACATATTTAATTTTCCAAAGCTCTTAATTCCAGGAGTTTATATTCCTAAAATACCTGTTCACGGTTCCAAAGGAGAAATCATACGACAAACCGTTATCCACATCAGACGCAGAAAGATTGAATGGATACAAATGAATTAGGTATACTTGGTTGTCATCGATATTACACGGGGACACGTATTTTCAACGATGAGAGCAAGAAGAGGGAGTGCGGGAGAAAGCTAACAAGGGAACAGCCTTGCCTAGGTCCCCCAGGGATTTTAACGAGATTCGTAACGGTGAATATTTACTTCCTATATCCCATGCTACTAGCTATCGTCCATTTTCTAAATCCTATATATGTATACATATAGACGTACACGTTCCATGTTCGGACGCGTTCCTGACCGCTAAACAATCTCATCGTTAAATAATGTATCGTCGTCGATTCAAAAATCCAGCTCCTTGCGAAGCCAGGTGACATTTTCTTCGGTAAAGTGCAATAAACGGTGTCCGTCCACGGATGAATACAAACATTCTACGACGATGCTCGATTTTGACGAAGCGTTCGCTGTTTGCTCGTGGCATCGATCCGCCCCGGCAGCCCGAGAGTGAATCTTTTTGCACCGCTCTCTTTAAGGCTGCTTTCAGTGCAAAATATGGAAGTGAGAAAACGAAAACTTACCAGACCGATCGTGATGAAACTGATACACGAACGAACCCTTCGAATGGCAAGGAATTCTTTTCTCTGAAACTTTTCGAATATCCATTTGGTTGTATTACTCCTTGTCTTACAATATTTCACATCATTACACGCGCTTAGAGTTGACCGTTTAATTTTTGCATTAAGACAATGCCCGTTAATGTGTTTTGTCTATCTGTGCCATTACTAAGGATATTAATTCAATGAAAAATTATAGATAACTAGAGCAAAAACAAGAATGACCTAAATTATGTGTACACACATTTAGCGACTGCACACAACAAACAATGCGCGATAGTTGAATGTAGCGTTCATAGCAATCATAAATCGCATTCGTGTTTATCATGCTTGGATTGTAACCTATGCTATGAGTCACACTTGTGCTATCTAGTTTTGATATAGGATCTGTAACACGAGTGTTACACGTTATTGTAATGAAAGGGGTTAAGGAGTGAAATTATTTCTTATATTGTTAGAATCGAATTATTTGGCGGTTAAAGATCACTAGAGAACGTAACGTGTACCCCACTATAGCATTGGCTGGTTATAGTCTCGCTCCCTAGACCCGCTTCTGTCTCTTTATTTTCTCAAAAAATTCATTCTGAAGAGTCTTATGATCTGAGAGTCGGCTTCTAAACCAGATGTAAGAATCCTCAGGAGAAAGGGAGTGAATTATGGCCATGCAATACACCGTTTCGCGCGTGGAAGGATTCTTAAAGCCGTCCAAGAGCCTCGGCGGTAGTCCCAAAGCGCTGTCCGCGGTGGTATGATTGTAACGCTCATTAAAATTCAGGGTCGAACTGAAAATAGCGTCCGTTGAGATTGCTCGTGGTGACAAGGACGAGCTCTAGCTACTTTGGCTGACATTAAGTTTCTTTCGCAACGAAAAGGGACCACTATGGAAAATGAACTATTTCCTAGCTTCATGTGAAATGGTGGATTTTAGACGAACATTTCTTTTGCCGATATCAATTCGTTTTCTGTTCAGTGGCGGCTGGATGCTTAGAAATTGATGCAGGCTGGAAAATAGATGTGATGGATGTACGAAAATTCCCCCTTCCACCCCGTCGCTTTAATATGAACCGTCGTTCGAGGTATCTATGCACATCTTGCTTCTTTTTACTCCGCAATCGATCGGCCGCAGAGTGAAAACAGATCCCGCGCGTCCTTTCGAAGCGACTCTGAAGCTCGAAGGAAGGTTTCGATCCCCGGCTAATTATCGGCGTGAGATCTCAGCGCGTATCCCTCCGCTTTATGTATCGACGAGCGTCTCGTTCATGGAGTTCGATTGATTGGAAAAC